AAAGAGATGCAAAAGAAAAATAATTCTGTCTTTAAAGGACCAGAACAACTTTCTCATTTAATCACCTGCCACTGGTGTTCTTGGAACATGCATCATGTGACGCACTGCCAGCCATGCTTCACCAACTGCAACTAAAATCACTGTACAGACCAAAATTCACTCAGCCACCCACATGGAACTGCTAAGTGAAAAAAATTCAGTTGTACAACTAGACCATTGGAAACGAAACAAAGAAAGAAACTGGATTCAGTTTAATGTCAAATTATTAGGAATTTAGGCAGTCACAGAAGAATGAATTCTATTATCTTCAGAAAACAGAACACAGGCAGATAACTTCCTCCTTCTACAAACTGAAAAAGGCTAGACAAACTTATTTAGAAAGTTGTGTCATAACAGATAGATAGTAACTTGGCCGTACTTACAACAGATGTTCAATCGTACCTCATGACTCATGTTTTGAAATGTGGACATTCCCGATATTGACATTAGGCGAGTACAAATCCTGCTCCCATCTGCCAGTGCTTCCTCCTGTCCTGCTACAGGCTGAAAAGTGTTTTGCAGCAGACATTAGAATTCACAGAATCATAGAACAGTTAGGGTTGGAAAGGACCTTAAGATCATCTAGTTCCAACCCCCTGCCATGGGCAGGGACACCTCACTAGAACGTGTTGCCCAAGACTCTGCCAAATTAGTAGAGTGTCATAGCCCCATAGTCAATAACTTACAAGAAACATGCTGGGTGTGTTCTTCTGGTCCTGCCATTGCTTTATGTTATTTTTAAATAGAGTATTTTTTGTTGGGTCCTCATTTCCCCCAGAAGGTAGATCTAGTAGACAGAACAGAAGAATACTGATGGAGAGCATATTAAGTATAGAAAATACCGAAAGGCTCCTGTGCATGTAGACATAGATTCCAATTAAGAAGTACTAAAAGTATATTGCCTGCAAGGAGACCTCAGTACTTGTCAAACTTGTGATATAAAGCCAGAGGCCTGCGTAAGGTTTTCTAAATGCCAAGAGATGCCTGCCTTTATACAAAACCTATTGTTTTCTCCTATGAGGTAACAGCATTTAATCAGAGCATAGGTAACATTCAATAACACTACAACAAATGCCCATCAGTTCAGCAACATGTTCCTGACAGGGGTGATACTGGTTATATAGGATAATTATGATACTTTCCCCAGCTTCCAAAAATATACCCTAGGGACTTTCTAGACAAAGCACATTCATAGAATGCATTTAAAAGCCTTTGATGAATTTATCATCCATTAATTTGCTTACATGCTTTTGACCACTTGCATGCTTTTGCCATGCAGATGGTTTATGAGCAACTGGCTCTACAAGTTGCAGGTTCCTATTGCGACTTCCTGTATTAGGTCCTTCTTCCCTACCTTTATCAGTGCCTTCATTAACAGGCATTAACCTCAAAGCCAGGATTTTATTAACCACAGGTTTGATATCCATCTTCTTTTGAGGACAGTCTGGTTTTTTTTCAAAGCTGGATGCTATATTCATCAGGTCAAGCTGGGTTTTCATTCTGGAAAAGGAAAGAAAGAAAAAACACAAAACTTAAACACTTTCTTTAAGATTCACATGCCAACAACTAAATTACACCTGCCTAATAAAAGAAATATTTTGAAAAGACATCACAAAGAGGGAGAAGAAATCAGAGAAAGCCTGCAATAAAGTGTCCGGTTTCCTAGATCTTTTTTCTTAAAGCTTACTATCTGACAATTCACTTGAATTAGGTTTCATACACAATGGTAGTTTCAAGAAGTAGTGCCTATAGCTAAGCAAAAAGATTAACACTCCCTCCACCCGTTTTTCTTTGCATACTATACCCAAATCTAAATTATACTCTTTCTTCAGAGGGCATTGCTAATGTTAGTCTGAACCACAATGTATTTTAAAGAACTCCTTCTCCAATCTTCTTTCCTAAGTTCTGCTTAAAAAGTGATAAGAAATGTAATTAAGAATCTTCAGGGAGAAATATACAGGGTATATGCACTGCAAACACAAAAATGAAGATCCTGCAGGATCTCCATACATGCTCTTAAACTCAAGGATTTTGGTTAAATCTCCAGGCTTGCTTCAGTGTTCCTGAATTTAAATAAGATATCTATAAATATTCAGTCACCGTGTATAATGAATTCCTAGACTCAGGTTTTTGCAGGATGCAGTTCAAAAGATTCTCTCTAATCCCAGACAGCACATCAATAAATTCTTGACCAACTTCCTAAACTTCAGAATATTGAGCATCCAAAAATCTGAAAGCATTATAATGTCTTAACTGCTAAATATTACTTTCATTTTAAGTAGCTATATCTGACCATATCCAAAGTAACTATTTTCTTAGTTGTTAATGTTAAAACTAACAAAGCATGAAAAAATATATATACCTTGCATTCAAGCCACAGGCCACCTATAAATAAAACAAGAATTTGTAAGATATGAATTAATTTTCCTCGAGCTCTCAAAAGAAGATTATTGCTTTATCAGAATACTTCAGAAACTGAGCTCCTATTTTCATTTCACAGAACTATAGGAAATTAAACCTGCTAACATTTAAAGAGATAAAAAGAGAGCACCCAAATGTAAAAATAAAAGCGTGTCTGGGTCAATGATGTACCTTGTAACATTTTGTGTTGAAGACAAAAAGCGCTACTTCAGAGCCAAATGAAGGTATTCAAATAATGAATCATGACCCGTATGGTTCTCATTCATTTTGGATATTCAGGTATTTGTAAGCATTCAAATGAAACACTGTATGTATTTCTTGGTGAGGGAAGCCTCTGCTACCTGCTCTCACGGTGCCATTACACCAAGATTAAACAAAGCTGTCTTTCAGTTTTAAATCAGCCAAACAATGGCAGTATGAAGTGCACTGCGCTGTGGTCAAATGACACTTCCCAAAGAATGGGTAATGAAAAGTAAAAAAAAAGAGCGGATTATAGACTAGCTGCTTCCCTCTAGAAACCTGATGATCTCACCATACTGAGTCTTAAAACAACAAAACCCCACCTCACTCAAATGAGCTGTGTGCTTCTATGGGGGACAGGTGGAAGGTGGTAACTGTAAAGTGTACTAATCATTGGAGTCAAGAGTATTCCTTCCAAAAGTGGTAGTCGCTTTTACTGTAGCTAAAAGTGAAATTTTCCTCAATGAGTTGTTACCAGAAACTTGGGCAAACTTTCTTAGCTTCTCATTTGTCTGAAAGCAGCAAAAAGACTCACTTCAGAAACCAGCAATATGCTGTGGTTTCTGAGGAAAGCACAAGCCTTGAAACTGAACACAAAATTCAGTAGCTATTCAAGTATTTTGCCCCACATCTATCATCTGCTTAAACTCTGTACAACTGCAGCTGGTGGTTGACATAAACATTAAGAAAAGGTCTGTGCTAGCTCACGTAACAGTGAAGATTAAGCTTGTGTCTTGTGTTCATCAGAAACAATGTTTTTTTCTGCAATTCCCTTAAACACTATGAAGGAGACTTTCAGGGTCTGGTATACAGAAGTGTGCATACTATGTAGTACAGTGTTTGTCAGAGGTTCCTAAGCTGAATGGGCTATTATCTCCGTTGCACATTCATTCACAGGTTTTAAAAAAAGTGTAACAGCCTTAGCTTGGGTATCCCAACATGGCACTCTGCTGTGCAGCACTGACAAGTTACCAATTCTGCCCCCAGTCTTTCCCCAAACAGCATTTTTAGAGTCTTAGAAGTTAAAAGCCACAACGGAAGTGCTTAACACACAAAGCATCCGAAAATAAATATAAAAAAGCAAATAAATGTGAGAACTTTGAAGGCAGGACTAGAAAATAACTCCCTACCCAGCTTACTTTCACAGCTGGTGAAAATATAGCAAGCGTTACAGCAGCAGCTATACAGTCAATTTAAGTAGTTTCAGTCAAGAACCTAAATGTCTACTGAACTCACCAAAGATCAGTGATAAGCTACAAAGAAAGTTTTTCAAACTTTTCTAAAATGAAAAGCACTGTTACAAAAAAAAAAAATATGAAGTTCTAAGTAATTTTAGTCTGTATTTTTCGTTTGCTGAATTTGTTTTTCCTGATCCAGTAATTTTCATAATCATAACCTACAATACAGCAGGCTCTATTTAAGGTTCATTATACAACTGATATTAAATAATAAGAAAAAGGCCATCACCTCCAGGAAACGCTGAGGATCACACTCATGGACAAGCTTTTCACAATCCTTCAAAAAATTCTCAATGGTCTTCTTGTGAGTTTCCTTCATTTTCTTCCAAATGGCAAATTCTTTTTCTTTTTTACTTCTTTGATTTTCAACATCTTCTAGCAATTGCTGTTTCTTCATTTCCAGAGTTCTGAAGATTTCTCCAAATTCCAGTGCAATCATGTCTGCATCCTTGTTCAGCGCCACCTAGAAGCTCCAGAACATAAAACCAGATGAAAATACAGTAGCAATGTCTTTAGACACTTCCCTAGTTAGGAGGAGTCGTCACTACGAGTCACTTCCCTAAGGAAGCTCAGAGCACATTTATGCCACAAGAAGCACCAGAATGCTCCATGTTGTGATTAACCTATCATGAGAAGAGAAACAAAACCACACACATATATCTACGTATATATAACATCCAGCATCTGTAACTCACATCCACATCATTCAGTTGATTTGAAATTTCATTCGTCAGCTTCTCATTTATCGTCCTCATTTTTTTCAAACTGCTGAAGAAGGTTAACTGCAAGACAATTAAAACACTTATCATGGCTTTATCCACTCCATAAAGCAAATGCATCAGTGGTTATCTACAATCACATCATAGGATGCACTGTACAACACATTAAAGAAAGCCTGTGATTCAAAGTGTCCCTTAATAGCATTTAGTGCTATTAAACACAAATTTTCTTCGGCTATTTCTCTCTCTCCAAGTTATGTTATTAGGCTCATCTACAACGCATATTGCTAGACTTGCTACAGGATTACTTTATAGCTAAAATATTGGCTCCCTCAGCCTTTGTTTTCCATCTCTCCCCTCACACATGTACCCACCTCAATGTGAGATCTAGCACTGTTATTCCAGTTTGACAAGCAACTACAGGATATTCACAGTTTTTTATGCGTCACACTGATAAAATAGACAGCTGCCCAGAACACAGTTATTGTTAGATTTTGAACTAAGATTATCACTATTTTTTCTTCCTTTACCTCACTAGAGTGTCACTAAGATTTAGATAGGAAGTCTAGTGCAAAGACTATTTTCCATGGGTTTCTAGAGTGAAGTGCAATTGGTGATGGGAGGGACAGGAGGAAAAACAGTGCAAAAGCAACTTTCGGCTTAAAGAATAGTCAGTAGTGTATTTAAACCTATACTCTTCACGCAGCAATTTCCATTACTGCACAGCAGAACTGATGCATGCCACGACACTCTGCACCCCATTTGCATAGGGCACGAAAAGCTCATTCTACCCAATTTTGACAAAAATCACAACCACTGTCACTATAATCAGCCAATCAAACATTAGGCCAGGTAGTTGCTTTCTTCATCCAAACAGGAGTGCGTTTTGATTTTACATTTATTATTACTTACCTAACCCACCTATTTCTAAACACGTAATTATCTGTGATCCAAACTACCTACGCCAGCTCAGAGAGCCTATAAACAAAGTATCTGTGGGTGGGGCTTTTGTTTCGAAATTGGTAAAACTGGATCTGGACATGCAATAAACTCTTAGCATCGGTGTGTTTTTTCAGCAAAGACTGCAAGTCTATATACTAAAACAAGACAGCTCCCCCTTCGCTCCCCCTCCTCAACTTCTCAGATGCTTTTTAAGTTGGGTTCAGATCTGTTGGTACTGTAAAATCGCCTGGTCCCCTGCATGCGGTGGATGACGTCTGACGGCACACCCCGGTGCCCCACAAACAAATCCGACCTCCTGGTCCAAAGCGGCATAATCCCTCGCTGCCTCCCGCCTGCCCACTACACAGCATTTTTCCCTGCATTCCTGAGTAAAAGCATCCCGGGCAAGGACCGACACCCTGTAGGACAGCCC